GGTAAATGTTGGATGAAATGTATGGTTCTGTTCCCTCTCCAATTTAAAAGATACTAATATCTCAATAGAACAGCCTTTTGAGGCAAAACATCTCCACTCTTTGTAGCACTGCTTATATGGAGTAAATACATGGCTTCAAACCAGAACACATTTCATTGAGTCCTGCTGTTTTATGTAAGATTTGATTTTTTAGCAAACATTCATATAATTATACAGTGTGAGTGGAGGCCAGCGGAGACACCTCCATCATACCGTCTAGCCCCAGACCAAGGCCACAAGAGGGTACTGTACCTACTTTATTAAGGGAGATCATGCAAAATAAACCCAAGCTACAGGACAGAGCAACACGAGCCAAGGTTCTCTTACAGGAGCCAAGGAAAGACACCATGGTGTTTGCACACGTTATAGGATGGTACAACCCAAACAGAGAGTTCCTCCACTGCAACTCTGGAGACTGCAATACATTCCCTCCCAATACCTAAGGATGGGGAATCTCAAATAAAACCCCTTCCCAGTAAAACCCCGGTTATTGCAGCTAACCATATCCAACTGAAGAAAATAGGAAAAACCACTGGGCTAGTCAGGTATAATCTAAACCAAATCCCTTATGAATACACAGTGGAAGTGATGAACAGATTTAAGGAACTCGATTTGGTGGACAGAGTGCCTGAAGAACTATGGATGGAGGCTCGTAACATTGTACAGGAGGCAGCAACAAAAACCATCCCAAAGAGAAGGAAATGCAAGAAAGCAAAGTGGATGTCCAATGAGGCCTTAGAAATAGCAGAGAGGAGAAGGGAAACAAAATGCAAGGGAGATAGGGAAGGTTACAGAAAATTGAATGCAGATTTCCAAAGAACAGCAAGGAGAGATAAGAGAGCCTTCTTAAATGAACAGTGAAAAGACATAGAGGAAAATAATAGAAAGAAAACCCAGAGATCTGTTCAAGAAAATTGCAGATATTAAAGGAACTTTTGTGCAAAGATGGACATGATAAAGGACAAAAATGGTAGGGACCTAACAGAAAGAGAAGACAAGAAGAGGTAGCAAGAACACATGGAGAAATTATACGAGAAAGATCTGGATGTCCAGGACAACCCAGATAGTGTGGTTGCTGACCTGGAACCAGACAGCCTGGAGAGTGAAGTCAAGTAGACCTTAGAAAGCACAAGGCCAGTAGAGGTGATGGCATTCCAGTGGAACTATTTAAAATCTTAAAAGATGACACTGTTAAGGTGCTACACTCGATATGTCAGCAAGTATGGAAAACCCAGCAGTGGCCACAGGTTTGGAAAAGATCAGTCTACATCCCAATC